GGGACTTTTTCAAAACATGGCATCGGATGAAAAATGAACACTAAGGGACACTTACTATTGGGATAAAAAGTAAACATCAAATTAAATCCGGCATGCACTTCTATTATATTCTGTCGGCAGGCTCTGTGAGGAAATCAGCACAGGAAGTGCTTTCGATATGTGACAAGAACATCTGTAGTACAACACTGGTGCATGATTATATGGTTAATTGGAAAGTAAGTGTTATAAGTATAAAACATAAATAAAACTCATGAAGAAAATAAAAAATATCAAATTATCAAATTTGTACAAAAAAAACATACTGAACCAGTACTGGTTGCTTTGCCTACTATTCACATAGTTGAAGTTCTATAATAGTCATCATATTGGCAAATTCTGCAAGCACAAGATCCATCACATGGATCATTCCTCATCATACATGAGCATCACGCATGTATAATTGTTTCTCCTTTTTTCTTGCTATTAGTCCACAGTCCATTTCAGATGCACACCAAAACAAAAGTTTAAATTTTAAATGATCCTGTCAATACATATCTGGTGAATATGGTTGAGAACCAAATCATTTCAAAGACTAAATGGGCCAAAATAATGTGCAAGTGGCTACATTTACATGCATGAACAACCTTTTCAACCCTTTTATTTTGCATTTGAAAAAGCTCTGAATAAATGTATACCCAATATAACACTATCATAAAAAAATTACTGCATTGTATTCTTATTCTGTGAATTCTGTGACATATTCTTCTAATATTTGAATTTTAATGGGTGCACTTTATAAATGTTTTTTTAATGGACCCAGAAGGTGTTCAGAAATACTTTCATTTGTTGATTTCAGAACTAATGAACTTTAACAAAAATAGTTCCTCGGCAGGTAATTTGCAGGTAACCTATAGCACATTTCATAATGTAACAATAGAGAAAGCTGCTTAGAGCAAGGAATTTACATACAAAAGGCAATTATTTTTATGCAAAGGGTATATTTAAAGAGGCCACCACCTTAAAGGGGTCATATGATGCTGCTAAAAAGAACATTATTTTGTGTATTTGGTGTAATGAAATGTGTTTATGCGGTTTAAGGTAAAAAAAACACATTATTTTCCACATACTGTACATTATTGTTTCTCCTCTATGCCCCGCCTTTCTGAAACACGTCGATTTTTACAAAGCTCATCGGTCTGAAAAGTGAGGTGTGCTCTGATTGGCCAGCTATCCAGTGCATTGTGATTGGCCGAAAACCTCAAGCGTGTGACGGAAATGTTACGCCCCTTACCGTATTGTGATGATGCCCTGTCCGGCCGGACCGTAACATAAAATCATGTCTGCATTTGTGATCGGAGAAATGACAAACAACCAGCACTACTCTACACTGCCCAAAACTCACGTTCGAATCATCAGTGGCAAATTCTTTAAATATAAAAAACGTACTTGCAGTCTGTGAGTCAGAACAGCCGGCATTGTAGTCTACTCTCCCAGAATCAGGAAACAGTCCTCCATAAAATGCGCTGGACACATCTGAATATTTGGGTTAAACTGTTCTGGAACAGTGTTGTAAATACAACTTAACCACTGATTTCTAGTCGTGTCCTCTTTTGGAAGACCAAACAAAGTAGTTTCGCTGTCACAGCGAAAAAGCGTCACACACCGCGGCCTTGAGTGAGTGGAGGCGGGCGTGCTTGAGAACGGCGCGGCCAGTGGATTCGACGAAGGAGCGGCCGGCGGCAACCACATGTGACGACCCTGGGCTGGACTCCGCTTCGTCCACAGTGAAAGCTGATCCGGCGATCCACAGCGTGAAGTTGATGTATTTCCTCAGCGACCAGCACGGATCAGCTCCAGGCATGACGAAGCGGATATCGTCCGCTTTTGGAAGGCCAAACAAAGTAGTTTCGCTGTCACAGCGAAAAAGCGTCACACACCGCGGCCTTGAGTGAGTGGAGGCGGGCGTGCTTGAGAACGGCGCGGCCAGTGGATTCGACGAAGGAGCGGCCGGCGGCAACCACATGTGACGACCCTGGGCTGGACTCCGCTTCGTCCACAGTGAAAGCTGATCCGGCGATCCACAGCGTGAAGTTGATGTATTTCCTCAGCGACCAGCACGGATCAGCTCCAGGCATGACGAAGCGGATATCGTCCGCTTTTGGAAGGCCAAACAAAGTAGTTTCGCTTTCACAACGAAACACACAGCGTCTTCATGACATGGCGGCGGCAGCAACAACAATACTACAGCGAGAATAAAAGTTACGCCTTCTTTCTTTGCGTGAACATTTGGGTGGCGTTATGCAAATCTTCCCACATCGTGACGTAGACATGTGGGGGCGTGTTAGAACAAGCCGTTTTAGGTAGGCGTGGCATTCATGTAAAATGAAAGCATGGAATATAGATATGGACATATTTACCTAAATATTGCAGCACATAACCATTAACAGTTCTGAGTTTGTCAGGCAAAGCTTTACAAAGGACAAATCAGCCTGTCTCACATTAAAAGTCAGTATGCCTACGGAGGAAAACAAGCAGAAGTCGGTAAAAGAGGTGTTTGTGCTGAGAGAGAGCGAGTGAAACAAAAATATGTGAGATTCAGACCTATTAAGAAAGCGAACAAGAGTATTTCTATGCAAGTGTAAAGTGTTTAGACGAGGAAGACCAGTCAACAAGTGGAAGCACATTCACTTTAGCGAGACGGTGTCACAGTGTCAGCTCAACAACTATTTTGGGTTACAAATGTGCCGTGCTCCAGGAAGAGCAACAGACTAGAACTGCTTATTAACCAACATTGTATATACTGAAAACAACAAACAAGCAAGCGTGTATTTTGCAAAGTACTTTACAATAATGATGAATATGTCATGAAGTTTAAATGTGTCAAACATGTCAAAGATATAAAAAAATATGGCCAGTGAAGTTTTTCACTTAGTCCAAGCTCATACTGTCAAAATGACCTTTGCCACACCACTAAAATTCAGATAAACTGCACAAAACTATACAAATAAGAGCATATTGTTGTTAAAAATTAATAATTCATAAAACATATCTTTCAATAAAAGCAGACTTTAAGTCTTTTCTAATGCGTCACACAGTGAGGTAGACATGTGGGGGCGTGTTAGAACGAGCCGTTTTAGGTAGGCGTGGTTGACTCTTAACTTTTATAAAGAATATCTCTTTGGATTTGAGACTTTAGTCTTTGCAACTTTACAGATCTTCTTTATGCACCAAGAGCTTGTAACACTCCAAAGATAAAGGAAAAATTGAAATCGCAACATATGACCCCTTTAAATTAGAAATGTATTTTTAAATGTCTATTAAATAATAGATATACCAACAATTATGTGGTTTATTAGAAATACTGCAAAGTCAGAGATAATACTGGAATATAAACTTGCATGTAAATGCAGCCAGAATGACATTTATGTATAATTTTGGCCATTGGCCACTACAGCTTGCCTTCAGTGTGCTGGTACTGTATCGAGACCATAGCGGTCTTGCGGGGATCTGTTCTTGATCAACCCCAGAGAAAGTGACTACTGTTGGGCTCTGGACACAGGGCTCGCTGAGGGGGGCTTCTTTCTGTGAGGAGGGCCACAGGGGTCTGGTGTGCACAGGCTGGTCCCAATCCTCCACTCTTAAGAATCAAACCTCCACCGACTGGATCTGGTTCATTTGGGCTCGCATCATCTGCACACTATTGAGAATCTTCTTCTGGTGGCCTGCCAGTGTGACTCCCACCCTCAGAATGTCACTGTGAGGACAGAAAGAGGGCATCAGAGAAGCGACTGCATAGTGTCACGGTTAAAGAATGATCTAAGCAGACAAGACTATCTATCAAATTTACAGTAATAGGTTTCTGGTGGCTATAGCATCTCGTTCTCTAACTTAGTAATGAATATGATCGATGTGAATATGTTGAGCTGTATGGAAGATAGCGAAAACATACTCCATAGTCATCTGAGACACTGCTTCAAAGGTAGTGAGGTCTTCATTGGCAAAGTTCTCTTTGTACTGGCTCATTTTGATGGCGTCCAGCCATTCATCCACTGTGCTGAAGCTGGAGAAGTCTGGTGTGCTGCGGTCCAGCAGAGGTAGATGTATGCTGTAAAACACCCACAGAATCAACATCACTAAATGGGACTTAAATCAGGAGCATTAAAAAATGGATTCTACTGTTTTCTATTTAAATATATTTTACAACGTCATTTATTCCCGTGATGCAAAGCTGAATTTTCAGCATCATTACTCCAGTCTTTAGTGTCACAGAATTTTTCAGAAATCATTCTAATATGCTGATTTGCTGCTCAAGAAACTTTAAGGATTTTTTTTTTTAAATAGAAAGTTTAAAAGAACACTTATTTGAAATATAATTTTACCATTATAAATGTCTTTGCTGTCATTTTTGAACAACTTAATGCATCCTTAAAATATTAATTTACAAATTAAAAAAACAAAACAAATCTTACTGAACCCCAAACTTGTGGATGGTAGTGTACATTAAAAATTGTAACAAAAATAAAGCATTCTTGGTGAAATGGAAGTCTTTTATGGACAAATCATGACCTATTTTTGAAACATGTTTATTCTTATAAAACATTATAACTTTGTTTGCCCATTAACATTAGTTGTTACTCTTCAGTCTTACTTTATATTTTTTGATACTTTTTTGTGTATTATATACTATATAATATGTATTATAATATTATGTAATGTATATTATGTGTAATATTGTGTATTGTATAATCTGTATCTGTAATTCAATTTAATACTTAATTTAAAAATGATAAATTGGTCATTTTCTGTATAAACAATGTATCTAAACTTAAAATAGATTTTGATTAATTAATAAACTTAAATGATAAAATACTAAAAATATACTTTATATTTTTTGATACTTTGTGTATTTGTGTATTATATACTATATATTATGTATTATAATATTATGTAATGTATATTATGTATAATATTATATAATATTGTGGATTATGTATTATATATTCTATATCGGTGATTAAATTTAATAATTTAATTAAAAAATGATAAACTGGTCATTTTCTGTATAAACACTATATCTTAACTTAAAATAAATTTTGATTAATTAATAAACTTAAAAGATAAAATACTGAAAATATATAGTACAAAAATCATCACTTTAAAATGCAAATTAGGCATGTTTTTTTTATTTTTTTTTACGATTATACAGTTCAGACAAATGAACTGAACATGATTCAGTGCTCAGTGCTTGCTGCCCCCTTCCAGAATCAAATCTCTTACCCTGAAGAGAGAGGGGTGGTGGCCTTCAGGCTGCCAGGATTACGGATCATCTTATCCAGAGTGTTAACAATCTGATTGAATTTCGGACGGTTGTTTCTGTCCTTCTGCCAGCAGTCCAACATTAGTTGGTGCAGTGCATTTGGACAGTCCATAGGAGGAGGTAACCTATAATCCTGCTCGATAGCATTTATTACCTGGATGGACGGGAAGATAAATGACTTATTAAGCATACTTAATAATACATCAATATAACAATACAATAAACATTTTATACACATCTTCTTGTATGCACTATCATATGGTGTTTAATGACATTGCCTGTCCACTAGGGGACATCCTTATCCAGCTCTTCATGAAAAAAGCTTGATTAAAAACAATCATCTCTAGTCATCAACATTTAAGAATTGATTTCATACATCTTGATTGCTCATGTCCCAGTAAGGTCGCTCTCCATAGGACATGACCTCCCACATTACGATGCCATAGCTCCACACATCACTCGAGGACGTGAACTTCCTGTATTGAATGGCCTCGGGAGCAGTCCATCGTATTGGAATTTTCCCTCCCTGTGTGGACACTGAATTTAGTTAGGAATATTTCATCAGCATAAAGTATTAGGCACTGCCACATAGCATTAGGCCACATGACCCATTAAACACACACTCACCAGGGCGCTTGTGTATGTAGGATCTGACGTGTCATCTTCCAAAAAGCGAGAAAGCCCAAAATCGGATACTTTGCAGACTAGATTGCTGTTAACCAGGATGTTGCGGGCAGCCAGATCACGATGTACATAGTTCATGTCACAGAGGTACTTCATGCCAGCTGCAATGCCGCGCAGCATGCCAACCAACTGGATGGCAGTGAACTGGCCATCGTTTTGCTAAGATGTCAGAGAATACACAAAATATAATCAAATTATGTGTTTAACATAGAGGATACACATATGTTTCTTCTCTAGATTAAGGAAAAAAAGCATTTCTAACATTTTAAAATCAGCCTTTCTAACAAAACATCTTTGTTCTGTGAGCTTGTGTCACAATCTTGTGGCGAAACATCTGGACTTCAGTCCAGCTGTGCCTCTCAGCAGACACATCTGGGCCTTGCCCAGTGGGATCCTGGGTCAGTTAAAAGCAGCACAAGGACAAGTGTCATCACACACTGTGAAATAAAAAGCTTAAATAAATTGGTTTTAGGACAATGTGTGGGCAAAAAATATGAGTTATTTTTTAATTAAATGCCAAAAATCTAAATTTACAAACCCGATGTAGCATTTAATCATGATTAAATGGCACGTGCAGCCTAATTAAAGGTGCACTTAATTTTTTGCACCTTTAAAAACCCACTACAGTTCAAAAGTTTGGGTTTAATTGATTTCTTGTTTTTTTTTCAGCAAGGCATGCATTAAACTTATCAAAAGCGATAGTAGAGATATTTATAATGTTTTCTATAAAGATTTCTATTTAAATTTCTTTTAAACTTTCCATTCAGTTTCAAGTTTTTGACAGAGATTTTAAGAACTGTTTCCAACATTGATAACAATAAGAAACGTTTCTTGAGCAGCAAATCCGCATATTAGAATAATATCTGAAGGATCATGTGACACTAAAGACTGGAGTAATGATGTTGAAAATTCAGCTTTGCTATCACATGAATCAATTTAATTGTAAAATATATCAAAATAGAAAACAATTATTGTAAACTAGATAGTAAAGTTCGTAGACAAACTTTAAGTTGGCTTGAAAAAGCCTAGCCGGTAAGTTTGTAAAAGTTTTAAAAGCTTGAAGTTTGAAGGTTTTCAGTTTGAAGTAGTTTGAAATACTTAAAATAGTTTTAAGTTTGAATGTTTTGAATGCAATACAGTCTTATCAGAAGAACAGACATCGAAAAACAGATTGCTAGAGTACCTGGGATGGCTTCTAGGGTGGCTGCTAGGGTGTTTCTAGGGTACCTGGGGTGGTTGCTAAGGTACTGCTATGTGGTTGCTAGGGTACTTGGGGTGGGTGCTGCTATGCGGTTGCTAGGGTGTTATTGTAAATAATAATAATAATAATACTATTTCATAGTATTACTGTTTCTACTGTATTTTGTGATCCAATAAATGTAGCCTTGGTAAATATATATATTTTTAAATCTTACTGACCCCAAACATTTGAACTGTAGTGTAAATGTTTACAATCATGTATACTTAAATAAAATAGCCATATCATAAAATCTATTATATTCTACATAGAGCGGGTCACCTCTTGGTGGCAGGCGTGTTAAGATGACCTAAACAGCTGAATTGTACTGCCATTGGACAGTTTAACTTTATTAATGATGGTTAACTGAGAAATGAGCATTTCTAAAATGGCATCGGTAGCTGAAAACATTTTTAGCATGATACTGCTTCCACACCACTAGGTGTCAGTAAGTCCAAGACAACTTACAAAATATCAGTGTATGTTGCTGTTGTTATTTTCTTGCAGCAACACTGAAACTTACCCGAAGGAAGGAGTCCAGTGATCCGTTTTCCATGAATTCAGTGATGATCATTACTGGAGTGCTCTTGGTCACCACTCCTTCCAGGTGGATGATGTTGGGATGGTCAAACTGCCCCATGATGCTGGCTTCGCTCAGGAAGTCCCGCCGCTGCTTCTCAGTGTAGCCTGATTTCAGAGTCTTAATGGCCACCAGAATCTCCCTCTTCCCAGGAAGCCTGAGATTACCGCTGCATACCTCTCCAAACTCACCTAAAAGTTCAATTATTAAGACCAGTTGGTTACACCTCAGGAAATGTCATTTATAATTCAATTAGATGAAAATAATTAAATTAGCAGCCTGGTTTACTAAAACTTTGTTGCTCCTTTAACAATAATTAAAGGTGTGAACACATTAAAAGCTCCAGGCTTTTGCTAGATTACAGCTGCTTTCTAATTAACCGTTGATTTGCTTATATGCACTCCACTAACTAGATGAGATGCAAAGATGTTGGTTAGGCTGCAAATCAGCACTCTATGCAATTAAATCTATGCATATTAAAATATTCCTAATTTACGTGAAAAGTGACATTCACCTGCACCAATGACTTGCTCGATTTTCACACAGGTGATGTCTATTTCTTTGGCGAACTCACGCACTGCCTCATTGGGATCCTCATATGTGAAAGGATCAATGTAGATCTTCATTCCTGGAGACACTTGGAAAAAAAAACAGGAGCTGCAGTGTATGCAACATAAATTCACCAAGGCTGCATTTACTTGATCAAAAATACAGTAAAAACAGTTATATTACTATATATTATATAATAATAATAATAATAATAATAATAATAATAATAATATTACATAATTATTCTTATATTATGATGAAAATTTTCGGTACGCGTCTTTAGGTTTGGTATACATGTGTACCGAAGAAATACAGCACTGTTTTAACCACTGAGTTAAATTTCATTGGTAACTTCCAATTTTATATATTGTTACTTTGACAAAAAAAAGTCTCATCTTACAAATTATGACAATTTTTTTAGGAAATTCAATAAATGTTGTTCTTTGCTGTGGCGCAACAGATTGCCGTTTAAACGGCAGTTCAAACTGCAACGCAGAGTGCGAGTGAACGTGATCATCCCTTCCTCTTTACTACTAATTTTAACGCAAAATGAACATGAATGAACATCTGCCTCATGTAATCGCTCAATCAGTGTTTCAACCGCGGAAAGACGTCAAAAAAATGTCACGTAGCATTTGCATTTACCTCAGGCAAATCATCCACAGCTTGTTAATTCATTAGAGAAATGAAGTCTAGAGAAGAGTATTTTGTAAAGTATTATACTTAATACTAAATAAATATTTTACTTTACCTGTTAGTGATGTCTTAATTATTTAATGTATGTTTAAATACATCTGTTATGAAACAAGTTATGACTGCTACAGTGTAAATTAATACTTTACGGTATTTCAACAACAAATAGAAATTTTATAATTTAGAAATTAATTTAAAAACGGTTTTCTGTTTTAATATATTTTAGAATGTAGTTTATTCCTGTGACAGCAAAATAGAATTTTCGGCAGTCAATATTGTTGTAAACAAAATGTCACGTAATTTTGTGCAACTTAATACATTTTTCCTGGTGCCCTGCAATGAATAAAAAGTTCAAAAGAACACCATTTATTGGAAATATAATCGGATGCAAAATGTACTTTTACATGTTGTTTGAACTGAAATGTGTCTTTGCAGTGTGCGTACACAACCCACCCTATAATGATAAAAATCCACCCAGTTTTTTTTTATTTATTTTTTTTTAAATATCGATAAATCATGACCACTTTCTAAAATCAAGCTGTTCTCAGATTCTTGGCTGTGTGACATCACACAGGCCAAGGCCCCTCCCACAATTGTCGATTGACACTGGTGTTTTACATTAGATCCGCCCTGAGTAAGCTGTCATTAGTCCGCCATTGTTTCGACACCGGAGCAGGAGTAGACAAGAATGTCTCCTAAGCGATGTTTTGTTGTTGGATGTAATAATGAACATAGCAGTCGAAAAGTTCAAAAGAACACCATTTATTGGAAATATAATCGGATGCAAAATGTACTTTTACATGTTGTTTGAACTGAAATGTGTCTTTGCAGTGTGCGTACACAACCCACCCTATAATGATAAAAATCCACCCAGTTTTTTTTTATTTATTTTTTTTTAAATATCGATAAATCATGACCACTTTCTAAAATCAAGCTGTTCTCAGATTCTTGGCTGTGTGACATCACACAGGCCAAGGCCCCTCCCACAATTGTCGATTGACACTGGTGTTTTACATTAGATCCGCCCTGAGTAAGCTGTCATTAGTCCGCCATTGTTTCGACACCGGAGCAGGAGTAGACAAGAATGTCTCCTAAGCGATGTTTTGTTGTTGGATGTAATAATGAACATAGCAGTCGTCATTTACTCCCAACATCTGAGCCGCTGAAGACGCAGTGGGTTACATTTGTTTCATTCGTGATCCAGCTTCACCTCCAGAAGAAGGGAGTGCAAGTTTTTTTAATGAATTTTGCAAATCGCCTTTCCTAATAATGTGCTAGTTAGCAAGTTTCACAATGAATGCGGCTAAAATTTACAGCCTCTCAGAGAACTGCGCATCACCCCACGGAAGAGAGGGGTGGGGTGAGCAGAGCTCATTAGCATTTAAAGGGAAATGCACTGAAACGGCTTGCAGTGAACAGAGCTGTTTTTGACGTAAAAAGGATGTTGTTTTACACTACCATTGAGAAATTTAAACTAACTGAAGTATGTTACAGACTTTTCATTCAAGACCCTAAAGAATCATATCAACTTGTGGGAAATGGGCATCCGATGACCCCTTTAACATTATAAATGTCTTTACTGTCACTTTTGATCCATGTAATGCATCCTTGCTGAATAAAATATTTCTTTCAAAAACTTTTTTACTGACCCCAAACTTTTGAATGGTAGTGTACACAGAAAGTTGACTCAATTTGTCTCAAATATTTTTTGTTTCCACATTTTATATTACAGTATCGTTGAAGTCTTGGTTCTGATTGGCTGACAAACCTTCTTAAGCTGTTGATTCATCTTCAACAAATTTTTTTTTTTACATGTGTGACACCTTAATAATTTGTCAACAGTCACTTTCTGGATTTTGTCAGACATGCCACAGAATATTCTAATGCCAGCTAAACACAAATAAATGTGTTTCCAAGTGGCAAAGTGCTCCTTGCTGTCAAATGTTTCCATTTTCATTCAAAGGGAACGTGGCTACATGTCGAAGATTATTATTGAGAACAAGTAGCATGCTGTGATGGCTTGGCCACCGGCTCATGTTTCTGGCTTTGCCCTCGCCACACAGATCTAAAATTGTGGTCCAGCAGACTAAGGGTAAAGCTATTTAAGAGACCAGAAAGCAGTTTTTGCCAGATTGTAGCACCTGAAAAATGTGACTATTAATTGGGAAAGTAGAAGAGCAAAATCAACGTGTCTAGCGCCAAATGTCTGTTAAAGTCCAATACCTTCAGTCATTGTTTGGAAGTACATCTTCCCACTTAAACGTCCAAAGCCCGCCACTGTTCTGGCCCGAACCTGGAACACGTAGATGATCCCCGGCTTCAGTCCACGGATAACTGCTGTATTAGTCTGACTCCGCAGTAGAGAGGAGTTCGACTCCGCCGTATTCTAGAATAAATGTCAGTGATTCAGTTTAATTTCTTTTGGTTTTGCTGCTTGATCCATTTAGTTAATTAAAATTATGTTAATGTGACAGTATTTGAACTTTTTAATCACAATTTAATTGAACTGCAAATAGTTAATTTAAATAAGCCAAATGGAAGTCTACTAAATATATTTTGTTGGGACTACATTAACAATTTCATTAGCATAACAGGATATACAGAAATACAGAACTTCTCAGACACACTGGAAATCGATTTGAGTGTTATGTGTTAAACTAACATAATCTATCCATGTAGTGTATTTAATTTAATTCTTTATTAAATTAAAATAACAGGCACTTCATGTGGCCTGAGCTCTAATTCCACCCTTAATTAATCTTAATTTAAATTTGAATAAGAACATAACTAATTTATCCCAAAATATTATTTAAAAAAAAAAGGATTTTGTGAAGTTCACCTCAACTGAACTTCACTGAATGTTTCTATTTTTGAGAGAATAGCTGGACATTTTTGAGTGTGTTCGTATTTGATGACTTATTACCTTCTCATAATATTGCAGCTCATAGTCCAAAATGACTCCATTGGGCTGGTCTGGTTGGGACCAGGACAATGTGATACTGTCCACAGTTCGACTGACCTGATGCATGATTGACACAGCAGATGGAGCTGTAGAGAGGATGATAAAAAGGAAACAATTAAATGAGAAATAAATATTGCTGGATACATTAAGTGTGGGAGTTCATCTGAGAGTCTTTTCATGAAAACTAGGTTCATAATAAGGATTGCATTAGAGAGGTTTAGATCACCACACAGAATCTCAGCCAAGCCAAGGCCCCTCAGCATAAAATAATGATTTTCATTAAGAACATTAAAATGAACACATTGCATAATCCTTAATAGATCAAAAGTTAGTTAAAAACGATTAATTCATTAAAACCGATCCTGAAAATCTTGTTTGTTTTAATAAGTTAATATTTTTATTCAACAAAGATACCTGAAAAGTGAGAAAGTGAGAGTACAGACTGTTATAATATTACAAAAAAGGTCTATTTCAAATGAATCCAGTTGTTCTTTTGAACTTTATTCATGAATTAGTCCTGAAAAGTATCAGTTTTCACAAAAATATTAATCAGCACAACTGTTGTCAACATTGGTAATAATAAGAAAAGTTTATTGAGCATCAAATCAGCATATTAGAATGATTTCTGAAGGATCATCATGTGACACTGAAGACTTGAATAATGATGCTGGAAATTCAGCTTTTCCATCCCAGGAATAAACTGCATTTTAAAATATATTAAAATAGAAAAAAAAGTCATTTTAAACTTTAATGACATTTCATAATATTACTATTTTTATTGTATTTTCTGATGAAATAAATGTTGCCTTGGTGCACATACAAGGGGATTTTTTCAAAAAATATTTAAATAAAATTTTTTTACAGACCCTACACTTTTGAACGGTAGTGTAGGGACGTTTAGATAATCAAAGTTTTTGACATTTGGAAAGCACTGCAACAGCATATAAATTTCTCCCTAAGCACAACAGCATTTCCAACAAAGATCAGCTTTAACGTCTACAGTTCTGGAGCTCCCATGCTAAACTGGCCACGGCGTTGCTCTCACAGTCCTCTGGCATCCGTGCAGTTTTGGATATAGAGGAGCCATTATATCAACTGCAGCTTCAGGCTGACTACTAAAAGAAAGACTCTGGAAGCCCATGTAACACTTCATTATCATTTACAAGCTTAAAGAAGCAAAAAGACAAGCGTGAAAGCTGGCAAACACTATGGCTGCTGGTAAAACTGCACTTGTGGTTTAAAGATCAAACAAATCACGGTGCCTTAAAACCAATCGATGCCTTGAACAGGGTTCAGCTGTAGCAGTATATGAGGTTTGCTCATGGCATGCTTGCTTGGGCTTGTAGGGAGGAAAGGGATTCTGTTTATATGCCAAATACTGATTCCCTAGACATGCGTGATAAAATATAATAGGTAAGACAATATCTGAGCATTTTAAGACCATTTGAATCTTTTTTCAAAATAAATTGGTCAAATAAATGACACTGATACTCTTTCACGTGTGCCATTTCTGTATAATTATGGCTGTTAAGCCCAAAGAAAGACGTTTTATACATTGTATTTATAGTTGGCATAAAGTTGATGGTTGATCGCTCAGAGAGTTCGAGGCCTCAGGTTGTTATGCTTTCTCTGTTGTCGATCAGAGCTCAGGAATATTAAGCACACAATGTTGTGTAAAAAATATGTCTTGTGCTATTTAGTTTCTCTGTAAACTTCGATCCTGAGCTTTGATTAAGTGTTTTTCCATGCGCTAGTTTCAATGGGCAGAACAGGCCCTGTGTCTTGATTTACTGCACTGAATGATGGGATGGTGTGTGAGGAGGATGGGATTGTTGAGAAGTCGAGCGTGCCATTGTGTATGTTGGAGAGATTCATCCAAACAACACTAAGAAAGACCGATGTGATTAGACTAACACTCCAAATAGGAAGACGAACCATTTCAAACAATCACAAAATTCAATTCCTCAGGCGCATGTAACTTTTTGACCCCCATAATTTGTTGTTGATGACAGGACTACACTAGGAAAATATCAAAGACAAGCCATAATTTATTCACACTTGTGTCTTTTGAAACCTGTATGACTTACTTTCTTCAGCGAAACAAAAAACGGAAGTTTCATGGAATGTTCAAGCTGCTCTTTTCTCAATCCAAAATTAATGGTGACCAGCAAGATTATCAACTTAAATTTCAGTCTTTCCCTCACACAAACTATCATATGGCTTAAGAAGACTTGGCATGTAGTGCACAAGTTGTATGGACCACTTTTATGGTATTTTTGGTCCTTTTTGAAGCCTTTTTATTCCTATGATGGCAAAGATTAATTTCAGTTTTTAGTGTCACATGATCCTTCAGAAATCATTCTAATATGCTGATTTGCTGCTCAAGAAACATTTATTATCATCATTTTAAAAAAAGTTGTGAGGCCTAACATTTTTTGTGAAAACCGTAAATAAATTCAATTCAAAATAACAGCATTTACTTAAAATAGAAATCTTTTTTAACATTATGAATGTCTCTACATAACTTTTTTTTAAATAAATTTTGATGTGTCCTTGCTAAATAAAAATAGAAATTTCCTACAAAAAAATTGAATGGTAGTGTATATAAAACTCACTGGAATGGCAACAACAAAAATGCTATTAGCCTTTGAATCTTGTTTATTCTAAGTAGCCATTGTTCTTTAACAGACCACAGTGTTTTCAAGGAAATGCAGTTTTCTAAAGTTCAAGAAACTCCAGAACGTCTGGAGAGAATCCACCACAGGTCATTATATATGAAAATAAGTTATCTTGGTTTGATGAGGTGATTGGTTTTCCAAAGAGTCTGCAGTAAGTGGTACTTCATCATTCCACTGCTCTCTTTGACGGCAATTTATGAGAAATACAAGTAGTACTCTCTCAGTGAAAAACATAAATTCATATGTCCTTGTGGTATTCCGGAGGAGAAAAAGAGGAACAGATTACATGAGCAGAATTTTCACTGCGGCAAATGACAAAGTAATTTCCTAGTTGACAGCAGCTTAAAACAAAGTATTAAAGACTTGAAAACATTAATGGGTATACCTATAGGCCTAATGTTTTTGAAATGTTTTTTTTTTTAAATAGTCTTCTCGAAATTCCTTCCCTGAGGCTAAATATCCTTTCGTTATTTTCTTGTACTGTTTTTACTTAATCAGTAATTCTGTTAATCCTGTATTTTATAAAAACCATTAGCTTGTAAGTTTCTCAGGGCAACATTATTAATAAATCCCTGAGTGTGGGAGGACGTTTATAGTTCCTGAGTGCTGTGTAAACCCGTAGCTGTTGAGCTCATGCTTGGGCTCTGGCTGAGCAGCCGGTCCTGGCATTGTCCCTCTCTCTGTGTTTGGGGGGATGCGGGTGGTGTGAGGTGGATTTTTGTCTTTTAATGGCAGCAGTGAAGCGGTAATGTGGACTGACAGGCACACCGGTGGAGCTCCAGCCTCCAGTGATAGGGCCAGCGAGTTCACTGCAGCACAGCCGGGGGCACGGCTCTCATTAAAATGCTCTATTAAACACTATTATGTTCCTTTTGAACTGGCTCTTTTTGACTGGCATTATCCCTGAACAGAGCAATATGACAAGTGTTGTGGACTAGATTTCATTTCTCAGATTAAAATTGAGGGAACATTAGAAATCTGATCAGGTGAAGATAAAAAGATGCAAACACATCACTTTCATGATGGTGTCCTATAAAACTGAAGACACTCAAAGCAGCTTTCGGTCGGAGAAAAAAAACTTGGCAATGTGAACAGTGAGACTCACAGAGATACTAGTGTGTAACTACAGTCTTCTGATGTGCAAAATTGCATATTTTCAAAACCAAGCCGGTGGGTTGCCTGAATAGACAGCTAGACAACTAATTGTTTTAAAAAGGCTCTAAATAGTTTAGCTGGTTTTGGCATCAACTGATTACAATTAGACACATTTCTTAGGTGGTGTTGCTGCATAAAAATTTAAATAAATGAATAAATTAAAAACTTAATAAAAATAAATAAATGAAACCAAGTAAAAAATGTACCAAATTTGATAGTATTACCATTTTATTCTAAATATTAGCTGGAAAAGATTATGTAAGAATATAATGTATAA